ATAAAGCAGGATAAGTTATAATCCACACTATGTTGAGAGGGTGGGTCTCCTTCACGTAGACAGATAAAACTCTCAGAAAAGAGTTTTAAGATCTGGCTGGGGGGATCTGGCTCCACCTTGGAGAAATACCTGTCTTCAGGTTCACCTTGAGTCATCATCCATCTGGTCTGGAGTCAGTGATGTCTGTATACATAGTAGAAAAGAATTTTCATTACTTACATTTTCCAATTCTCAACAGCTCTGTTGTATCTTTCATCAGTAGCCGGTGCTCTCTTCTTGTGACATATCTCATTCTCTTTCCGTTTTGTAATTTGTTGGTACTCTGTAGTAAAACCACGTAATTCACCGATTTTTCGGAGCTCCTCAACCTTTCTCCGCCTCTGCTCCTCGCCTGATTTGTTGTCACGTGACATGCCGAGTTTCGATATGGTATCACTTTTCAAGTTGTTTACTGAGCATGAGTTCATCGAACAAAAAAAAAGAATGGACAACCAGGTCAAATGCCCTATTTAACTTCAAAATCTTTCTCGCTTGGTTGCCTGGCTGGCCCGCTTGGTCACTCAATCGCTCACCCATTTGCTCACCCTGCTCACCCCGCTCACCCACGCTCTTGACAACATCACCCAAATCACCCGCACTCACTCTTCGTCTTAGCGTTGCTCACCCATAAAGCAGCGACTGAGAAAGGGCTCATATCCCACTCGGCCGCGTTCAATAGGTGGCTTGAGTACGGCTGAGCGGACGGGAAGCCCTATTTTCCACACCCTATGGTCGTATGTGCTCGCTGGAGTGGTGGAGCAGTATATGTCCATATCAGAAAATGAGGCCGCTCTAGCACTGTGCGAAACAGAGGGGAGAGAGCTTCTAGGCTGAGATACACAGGGTGAGATTCCCAGCTCATCTATACGATAGACATGTAATTACACTAGGATCGTAATATCTACTGGACTCTTCTTTGAACTCTCGGACCTGGTTCCCACAGCACTTTGAACCCTTGCCCCCTAAAAACCCTGCAGCCTGGTGCAGTTCCAATCTCCGCCCCAACCATTCTTGTAAATCAGCCCATACTTAAAACCTAGAAGGTATCTTGTTGTTGCTCTCCATCTTGCGTGTATGGAAGTCCTTGCAAAGTCCGTGTATCCATGACTGGCAGCGAGCCCACCCAATGTCCATTGAGCTACCTCGGTTGTAGGCACCTAGGCTTACTTCTAGTATGCCTTGAACTGCCTACCTTAGGCATGAGTCGTCACTTTGGGTCTGATCGGGACGGAACCTGACTGGACTTAGGGCCGGCCGGCCCTTTGTGCGGCACTGAAGATCATTGGCGGGAACTGCAGAGGGGGCAACCTTGACTGAGTTCCTGGAAGAACATTCATTAAACTCAGTGCTTCAGATATCCCTCCAAAAACCTGGCAGGATTTAGATGCTGGTCCCTTCACTGATCATCTCGTGAGCCTAAAAACCCAAGTCCACGACAACAACGCCAAGAGATGCATGCCGACTATCAAAGCACTAGATGGAGTTGCGTCTGCCCTTGGGGCTAGTAAGTTCCTGGCTAGTAGGCCTTGATTTGTGAGTAGGTAGAGACGGCGCTGACATCTGCAAGCAACGCTTTAATCCCGCGATCTTTTTCTCCGCCAACAGCTCCGCCTCGGTTCCCTGATCCTCGATCTTGTGCATATACTGCTGGGCTTGCTCTTTGATCTCCTCCAGATGCCGTTGGGCTTGTTCCTCCATCTCCTTCATGCAATCGTTGGCGGTAATGCGAACCTCGGTGTTACTGTCCTCCACCTGGTCGCGAAACTCGGTCTCGTGAAGGTGGCAGTCATCCAAGAACTGATCCCGGCACTCGCTTACAGCACTGTCGATAATCGCGTTGAGGATATGTGGTTCGATGAAACACTTGATCTTCTCCTCGACAATGCGTTCGAGGCGGCGTTCCATGGATTCCACCTGGGCACACATGACTTTCTCGGAATCAGACACCCGATGACTCTCGGGATCCCCGGGTATAGCGTGTAGACATCGACTGGCTAATCGAATCAATAATTTACAGATCAGGTCAGCAGAAGCACCGCGGAGCATATGTTCGAGACGTGCAAGTGTGGCTCGCTCCGTACAGCTTGGAGAGGAACGGCGTGTAAAGTCGGTTGGCCGGATTGAGGCCGGCGAGGTAGGCGGGAGAGTACTAGGTGTATTGATTTCGGTGGGACAGCAGGGCGGTTCCGGGGATGTAAAGAGCGGTCTCTTTCGTCTGTCATCCTCGGATGATGGGATTAACGAGTGGTCTATATACGATTAACAAAGCTACTGTAGAAGGCTTAAAGTACAAGGACTACTAGATGATAGAATACCTCGGGCCCGTTTCCCACCTACATGCGCTGACTTGGGTTCCTCATTATACGGGGGTGGATCCGCTTGCTTGACCTGCTCGGACGCAGGCTCCTCATAGTCTGGCGGTCGCTCAAGCAACACATTCAGATCCTTCCAAACTCTTACGACCAGACCTTGACGAGAGTCATCGAAAGATACTGCTTTAAGGCTTCTTGTCTCAAGGCCACGGACGAAAGCCTTCAGCATCCCGAGTTCGCCACCCACAAACTGTCGCGCGGCAAAATGGATACGTAGAGATTTGAATTCACATATCCTTGCAAAAGCAGCGAAATTCCAATCTCCATGAGTCGCGGAGAGTGGAGACGACATCTCAGACGGGCAAAGAACCGTCCCCTCCGCAGGCGCCCGAACAAATTCCAGTGTCAGTGTTGAGACGTCCCGAACGTGTTTTACTCTCGTCGGAAGTTTCGAAGCAAAATAGTCTGAACAAAGTGTTTCGTCGCTGGCCGAGATCAAGCTACATGTCTTGACCGACTCGGGAGGGATTCTCAATATCAACGTATCTTCTTCACCGCTCAGACGATTCGATAGATGTGCCTTGATACTGAGAGATATGCATCCTTTGTTAGTATTCTTATCATAGGCAAGACGAAAACCAGCAAGAGAGGGATTCTCGCGAGGAGATGTAGAAACCAGAACGGCCTTCACGCGTGAGGCCCACGGCGTGTTTGTCGATGATGAGTCGGTCATAGTCCTGTCGTTGCAAGATAAGCCAGATTAAAGAAGTCGAAAACCCTCGATGAATCGAGTTTGCCCTTTCCCACCCAGGCTTTTGAAGACGAAGTGAGCAGCCCTGACTCGTGTGATACGTGCATGAAATCAACAACGATGATGAGAGGAGTAAAGGTAGTAAATGCTTCTAGCGGCCTGGTCACGAGAGCGTGCCCAATCTGAAGTCAACAAATGAAATCAGAGAGTCCTATGAGAACACAGGAATGGCAGGTCTGGTGGCGAGAGCGGCAAGTAGCAAATACTTCCTCCAAGTGAGGGATGGATTTCGTCACAAGTGAGAGGATGAAGGGGAGAATGAGAGGAGTAAAGGTAGTAAATGCTTCTTGCGGCCTGGTCACGAGAGCGTGCCCAATCTGAAGTCAATAAATGAAATCAGAGAGTCCTATGAGAACACAGGAATGGCAGGCCTGGCGGCGAGAGCGGCAAGCAGCAAATACTTCCCCTAAGTGGGGGATGGATTTCGTCACAAGTGAGAGGATGAAGGAGAGAAGGAGAGAAGGAAGAGAAGAAGGAAGGTGGATAAGGAGCCCGGGGGAAGTTGGCGACGCGTCTTTCGGAAGCGGATTTACATTTGCTCCGACCTAGGTTGGGTCTTTCTGCTTACGTCATTATGGATGCTTGGCGCACGGACCTTCCGCAGCACATCAGAATCCGGAATTAGAATCCGGCAAGCGGCCAGACCTTGCTTAAAGAGTAGGACTATTGCTAAGTTACCTAGTATCCGCGGACGAAGTACAATTTGGGTATCATTATCCGATGCGAACCAAGCAGCAGCATATTAGTAGAATACAATATGTAGTAGTCATAAACCTGGATCCATATTCGAACTTGAACCGCTCTCCACTCATCGAATCCGAGGATAATCATCTAATTCATGTCGCCCGCTTTTTATCAGCCAAATAACAAATTAAGCCCACGTAATGATATGCACCGAAATACAAATGAAAGTACGAGATAGAAGAGTAGGAACTACAAGCCTCGAAAATGAGAAGTCATCGATAGTCCGGTCGTTGAATCACCCCCTTCGCATCGACAGGAAGGTACGCCCCGCCGCGGCGGTCACGCTCACTTAGAATCGCTTGATCGGCTCGAACCCACTGCTTGAAGGGTGTATTGGGGTCGTCCGACCAGACCGATCCTGTCGGACGGAGATGGCGGAGGGACAGGAACCAGTTCTCGTTCATGTCATCAGTGTCACTCTCCGCCTCGGATGCGGTCTCGGGCTGCGCTTGCGGTGGAGGAGCGGGCGGCGGGGACGGCGGTTCTTCGCCGAGTTCGATGCTGGCGGTCTCGTGGTGTTCCTCAATGCACATGGAGTCACCGTTTTCCTCATCCTCCTCGAACTCGGACGCTGTCGTCGCGTTGGGATCGGCTGGACCCGCAGTTTCGGGGTCGAAGTGCATTTCTGGAGATACTGGTGCTTGCTTAGTAGAGCTTGCTCTATCCTCTTTATCGTCAAAGAGCAGAAGCTCCACTTCGCTCTCCATGACAATATCCGAGTGCTCGGCCGGTTCTACTAGAGCGTGTTCGGCCGAGCCGGCTGCGTGCTCCGCCAGGACATAGGGCAGAAGCTCGGTATCGCTGTCCATATCAATGTCCGAGTGCTCTGCTGGACCTGGCGAAGCTTGTTCGGGAGCGCTGGCTTCATTCCCTGCAAGAACAGAGTGCAGTTGCTCAATAACGCTCTCCACATCAGCATCGAAGGGCCCTTCTAACTTAACCGAACCATTTCTGACGGATCGTGGTTCGACCGCAACCATGACATGGCGCGGCTCTCTGTCAGCGCTCTCAGCCTCAGCGTCAGAAGGCTCCGATTGTTCTATCAGAGGTCGCCTGGCAGATGCAGCTTCGTCTACTGCAGGAACTGAATGCAGATCTTCGTCCGCGCTCCCAGTCTCCGCGTCCGCGTCCGAGGGCTTCGATTGTTGCTTGGCAGATACTGTTTCATCCCCTGCAACAACAGCGTCTCGCTTAGCCGGATTTATCGCACCCGGCGCTTGAGCAGGCACATCATTGGTGCCTCCGGCAAAGGGCACCTCTTGCACTTCCGGCTGGGCGGGCTCTGCCCTATCCTCTGCAACAATAGAATGTGAGGTTGTTGCTGAGTCCATTTCTCCATTTTCCTGATCAAATGAGTTCTGGATGTCCTGGATGACCGATTGGTCGTGTTCTCCCCGTCCTTCGGAGGCCCAATTTCTGTGATCAACGGTAGGAGTGTCTTGATTTATCGGCGCATCGTGTTCTTCCGCCTCGGAGCCATTTAGCTCCCCTGCTGCATCAGACGGCGAGTGCTTCGCTGAACCGACTCTTTCGACCTCCATGTCAGTGGTATCGTGTAAGCTTTGCCCTGTCGACTCATTATGCTCTTCTGGTTCGTGAGACCCAGCCTTGTCTGCAAGAATGGCCTGTGGCTGTTCTGCTACGTCCAATGGCGTAGTTCCTTGGCCAACAGAGTCTTGCGTGTTTGAATTCGACGACTCTTGACTTTCTACTGTCATATCGACATCTTGGCTTTCTTGGTCAGGTGTGTCGTGGGCCTGAGACTGATCTTGTTCCCCCACGGTGGTGGGCCCTGCTTGGTCCGCTGCGGGGACGGGTTCGAGGTGCTCCGCTGAGTCCATATCCTCGGCTTCCTGGCCGACTGTGCCATGAATGTCTTCCACAATCGACTTGTTTTCTTCCTTAGCTGCAATCGATAATGGCGGGTGTTCTGCTGTGTCCACTCCTTCAAAACCCTTATCGACGGCAGCGTGGGCATCTTCAGGTTTCTTGGCATTCGTTTCAAGCACGGAAGACAGTGCTGCGTTCCTTGCACCGATCACTTCCAGGTCTTCTTCTGAGACCACCGATTCCGACTCTTGGCCTTCCATATTTTCAGCATCTTCCAGGATAGATCCATCTGTGCTTTCCAGCTCGCCCATTGAGATATTTTGACTGCCCTCAAGCTCGTCAACTTGGCTGATCTCGACATGACTGGGAATTGTCGTCTCAGCAGCTTGATCAGTCACAGTGCGATCCTTAGTTTGAGATTCATGCTGAGACTGAACAGCGATGATTGGCTCTACTGGTGTTGGAGTGACGTCGTGATCGGCCACCAAGCTGTCCTCGGCTTGCGAAGCATGTTCTTGAGACTGAACAGCAAGAATTTGCTCCACCGGTGTCGGAGTGGCGTCCCGATCAGCCATCAAACTGTCCTCGACTTGCGAGGCGTGGTGCTGGGATTCAAGCCCTATGATCGATTCCGTGGGTGTTGAGGTGTCGTCGCGATCAGCCACTGAATTGTCCTCGACTTGCGAAGCGTGCTGCTCGGGCTCAACCACGGTAACTGGTTCCGCTGGTTTTGGAGTTGTATCTCGATCATCCATGTAATGCCACCCTGTGTGCTGTTCGTGCTGCGCAGTCTCGATTGTTGACACTTGGTTGCCTGGAGTTGGTGTCGCCGCCTTAGATATCTGCCCACTTTCTAGGCCACTAGACTCCGGAGCATTCTCTTTCTCGAAAGCGGTAAATCCATCGTGTATGGGGGCATATTCCAGAGCGGACTCGTAAGCGCTGGCTGAGCTAGTAGGTATTACAAGCCGCTCTGCTGAGGCAAGGTCAGAAGACGCATCTTCCTCGGTGTGCTTTTGCTCTCTATGGCGTGTCATATTCCAATTCCCGGCCTGGGCGACAGATTGAGGCTGGCGATGGGGAGTGGGTGACGACATTACAGACGATATATCCATGTCAGTGTCGGATAAGGTAGCCTGGCTCCCCGGCTCGAAAGAGTCAGCTTTCAGGTTAGTGAAGCGGTCCACAAGACTGCCAGTAAACGATGTGTCTGGCCTGGGTGCCGGGGCAGGTACAGGAGCAGGCACATGATCCTCGTTGGCTGGGTCATACTGTGCTGCTGCAATCGCGATACCCTGCGCTGTCAGGCTTCGCTTCTTGTATATAGGTCGGGAAAAAGTACATGCAAAATAGTCTTCGTAATCCATGGACTTTGATTCCGATACCTGGCTCTGCTGTATATAGCCAGGAAAATCTTCGAGATACTTGATAATGAAGTCATCCCATAAGAAAGACCGTTGCAGGTGGCCCTTAGCTCGCACAGCCTGAAGCTTAAAGCAGAGCTTGGAGAAGTGATGAAAGTCGCCAGTATAGTTTGGATAATTACGACAGAACTTCCCATAAGTCTGATGAGCTTCCCAGCTATCAGCGGGATCGCGGGGACTCTGTCGATGCAATGCGCTGGAAGCTGGTCCGTGCGCTGTTTCAGGCGGCTGCGTTCGAGGTCGTTTGGATGGGCCATATGCCTCGTCTTCGAGAGCAGACGCAGGACGTTTCGAGACCACTCCCACGGAATGCCGGTTTGATGATCTCTGTGCCAGAAAATCGTAGCTAGCTTCCTTTTGACTATCGGTCTCGAGCGGCAGAGACGAGGGCAGTACGACTTCCATGATCACACTCGCTTCACTCAGTCTCGGGGCACTTGAATCTAGAACCACATCTGCGGTAGAACACGGCGTTGGGTCCTGCGTTGGTAGGTCCCGACTGCTCATCTGCGTCCCAACAATGTCCACTCGGATTTCCGCGTTAGTGCCCTGGGATCGATCATGTGGAAGACTTTGTAAAGAAGACTCCTTGTTGGTGCTACTCCCGATAGAATTCAGAATTCGTGACTGAGATGAAGATTTGTCTACACTGGGTGACTGGGTACTAGGGGCCTGCATTTGCGGGGCTTTGCTACTCAGTTCGGGCTGAGAATGGCGAAACCGTCTCAAGTTGGTCTCGGGGGTGTCCAGCACCTGCACCTGATCTTGTGTAGCAGGCGCAGGAAGAGACGGGCCTGAGCTGGTTATCTCCTGCTCCGACTGACGGACAAACTGCAACTGAGATAGTTCGACTCCAAGTGGACAAGGCACAGAGGTGTCCATCATGGAGTCATCACTGTCTCCATCCGAGTCATCTCGTAGACTATGGTCTCGAACTGTGATGCTTCGCCGAGTAGGATGTATACCTGTTTTGGCCCGACCAGCAACGTCCCCTGGATTCTCAGACCCCGTGCTTAGAACACGCTGACGGGATTCCGGAATAGACTTTTCGGCCATACGATCCGCTTGCACTTCGGGTCTATCTACCAACGGTGCATTTCGCCCTAGCCTGCGCGGGCTCCCTCTTATTGGGCTACTATCTTCAGGCAGGGCTGGACGTCGACGTATAGTCTGTTCCGGGGAGCTTTCTGACCACTGCGACGTCAGAGGCTCGCCTTCTGAGTCTGAATCGGCTCGAGGTGTGGGGCTGGGAGAATCAAGTGGACGCCGTTCAGATGGAGACGATTCCGGTGTTGCTTGTTTCGGTGACCTTTCCCTAGCGGCGCGGCATCTTCGCGACACAATAGTGTTCCACTGAGCAAGTAGACGAGGCGGTACGTGGCCTTGTGGTTTGCTTTCCCCGGGTAGAGGTGGTATCCAGCGACGCTTATGTAACCCTAGTAAATCCTGTTGGTCCTTGGGTATACGAATATCCCGTTCCTCAATTCGAGGTAAATCCTTCCAGGGGTCTTCAAGGCAAAGTCCCGGTTTCTCCAGTGGCTGCTTCTCATTAACTACCGCCCTGTGAGACTGTTGGGCCGTCTGTAGTGAGAGGTTAGTTTTTTTCTCTGCGCCTTTCTGAGACAATCCTGCTGGCTGTGGCAGTCGCTCTGCTTCAGAGCGACCGTTTGGCGGCGCAGAGTTCCTTGATACTCTGGGCAGAGATTCGCTGTCCGTGGTGGGAGGCTGCGAAGCTATCCGAAGGAACTGATTGCTCGATGGGCGGGGGACGGGTTGCGCGGTTGCACCCAGCACGGTAAAGGGCAAAGGCGCGATGTCTATACCAGCCCTGGCATGCTCTGCAGTATAATACCTGGTAGATGGTATGTTTGCCATTGCTGTGGGTACAGCAGTGCCATGCTGGTGGTTCGGAATCGGAGGGAGGGGAGTTATGCGACTCAGCTGATCCGAAGGGCTATTAATCCCAACCCGCTGATCTAGCATTGCAAGAAGAGTAGAGACCCTATCACTTGTGTCCGGGCGTGGCGCATGCTGCGTAGCCTGAGCCTGAGGAGCTGGATATACCTGGGACATGAAACCATTCTGCGAGGCAGGCATTTGGAACGACTGATGGGTCTGCGAAGAGAACGAATCCTTGGCTCGAGGGGCAGGCGCCATGATATGCTGCAAAGATTGCTTGGCATCTCTGGACGCATCTTGCATCAACTTATAAACCGGATGTTTCCGAAGGGTCTTCCCCTTTGAGGGGGTCTTGAGCCTGGCCGAGCCCCATTCTACCTTGAAACGTTGGACATAGAGATGGACCTTCGGGGTTGCCGTGGTATACTCCAAGACTAGCTCAAAGTCCTCCAGCTGAACACGGTATCCTCGTATCTCCTCCTTGCTGAACGGATGCTGTGAGTATCTCTTCTGATAGTCCTCCAGCGCCTCTCTGGAAAAGATCGCTTCGACTTGGGCGTCTGAGTCAGTCACATTGAGCTTGTTAAAGTGTCGGTCTTCCGTACACTACCGGAAGAGTTTCTTGTCAGTGCTGCGAGATCTAGGAAGGGGAGGGTGGCTCACACTGTTCACCAGAACACTCTTGATGGCATCGATCCGGAAGCGGAGGTTGCTCTGGTCGTTCTCAAAAGGGATTTTGACCGAAGTTTTACTCAAATAGGAGCTCAGGAGGCGTTCAATCATCGAAGCTATCCATTTCGTTGGAGTATCCATCATGGAGGGGAAACTCGTCTAATGTGCTGCTACAGCAGCGCATAGTAGCCTGGGCGGAGATACAAATCAAACCAAAGATCTGACATTTGGTGTCTGCATACGAAAATGCTTTAGTTATGCAAGTAGCGTGACAGTCACTGATCTGTCCGAATCACTACTAGGTAAGGTCCACAGCAGCCATTAAGTTGATATGAAATGATAAATCGAGAGCAAAACGACAACACCACCTCTCTTAGAAACCATGCTTTTTTTTTCCCCTTTCACCTTGATCGCCGTGTAACGCGAGCTCTGTCGATTTGACGCGTCTGACCGCCTTCGCTTCTGTGTGGCGCATGCTTATCCATCACTTACAACTTAACTTATAACCTGAAAGTCACCAGCCACAGCCCCTCCCGATGCCGCAAACCACGTCATTGGGCAGCGGCACATGTCATGGGCTTCGTCCCAATCCCTGCGGCTTTTGCTTGTCCCTCCTCTCTGTCTCTGTGTCGCCTGTGTCGCCGAGTCTAGACAATGAATCACCGAATAATCTTCCAACTTCCTCCCGAGTTGCCTTCTCCACCTGTCGCCCCGTTGTCATAGCAAAAGTCAAAACTTTGCCTTTTGTCTGCCTCTTGTCCCTCGACGCGGAACTGAACTGTCTGACTATCTGATTGTCTGACAGTCCGACCCTCCTCCCGAGAAACCCACTCGTTATAAACAACTCCAGATGATGTGGAGTCGACCTCTCCATGCATGGATCCTCACCGCACAGACTCCGATCACCGAGCAACTCAGCTCCGCCCCAGCAAGATACTTCGAATGTTTGCCAACCCTTACTCCTCCTAAACTTGTGAGGTCGACCCGATAAGGTCCCCCCGCGGGCGATACTTTTCTCTGTGCCACCCGTGTCCGTGTGTGTGTGTGTGTGTGTGTGTGTGTGTGTGTGTGTGGACGTGACGGGGCTTGGATGGCGTCCCAACGATCCCAAGGGACGTCGAGCCCATCTGCATCGTCAGTCTTCCTTCCTCTGGGTCGCCGAGGCTCTCGAGCATCTATTTCAACACAAGCTGAACGCGAAAGCCTAAATGCAACTCTCGATCAAATCCATAGCGCCGCCTATCAGTCCGATACCCTCACCGTCTTCAACGACTTCACCAGTCCACCGGCTCCGACCTCGGTCGTCGACGAGAAGAGTTTGTCAGGCGAGCTGCAAGGAGGTTTAAGTGGGCTGTATACTAGGTTCCGAACATCAGTGGGTGGGATTGTTGGCGGGGTGGGCAAGACATCGAACAACACCTCGACCGAAGACCCTGGCCTCAAAAGTCCGCTTCCGTCAGAACGTTCGTTCCCCAGATCTGCCCCGGACTCGGTCGCAGAGTCGCAGCATTACCATCCGGGTTCATCTCAAGGGTCAAGGTTACACTCACCGGTGCCGGGGAACCTCTCCGCTCAAAATGGCCCGCCCCCGTCGGGACTGGCGAAGAGCTCCAAGGTTTCTTCCAAGGCAACGAGTATATCCTCAAAAGCTTCCATCTTGCCACAGCCGGCCTTGAAATCTCCCGTCCCGCCCTTGCCAAAGACTACAGGCAGTGCGTTGGCTGTGGACCCCACAGTCACGGAAGTTCATGTAAACGCTGTCAAAGAACCACTTCTTCACTCGAGTAATGCCTCAGCCAACTTCTCCACCAACAGCTTGCAGACGGTTGACTCCGCTGGTACGGACAAGGAAGAAGGCCCTCACACTGCATCTCTAAGCTCGTCGGGCTGGAGCCAACGTCTACCGAACTCTCCGCTTATGCAGATCAAGTCGCATTCTAGCGCCTACGATGGCCAGGAAGTTAGCAGGTCCTCCACAGCGGGTAGTCAACCCCCCGATTATTTCAGAAGGTCGGAGGGACACATAGAAGCCAATTTACCTGGCCCATTGCGTAAGGCTAAAAGGTCGGTTGATCTTGGTCCAGATGGGATATCGTTGCCCCATGAACGATTGAGGTCAAACTCGGCCGCTTCCTTCAAACCTGAAAGATCAACTGTCGCGTCTGGATCGAGGACAAACAGCGTCAGCCAAGTCTCCAACCACGGCGAAGGATCTCTGCCCGAGGGAAAATTGCCATTGGGCATCAACGCCTCAGTGCCTTTGACTGATGGTAGCTCCCATTCGAAAGAACCAGCGAAGGCTCCTGTCAAACAGAAACCTGGCGACAGACTCTCTATATCTAGTGCCAGTCGCTTACCCGGATATGTGGCGTCTCAAGCCTCAACAGGAGAGTCTACCTCTGGGACGCCAGTACTACCTCCGTTAAATACGGCCGTGGAACGAGTTTCTAGCCAAGATGGGCGAAGTCGGCGATCTCATGGTGGAGGCGACGGCGTCATGTCCCAGCTAAGGAGCAAACTACTCAGTAAGGAGTTTTGGATGCGGGATGAGAACGCAAAGGATTGTTTCCATTGTGGAGAAACATTTTCCACTTTCCGACGCAAACATCACTGTCGGACCTGTGGCCAGATTTTTGATTCGAAATGTACACTCCTGATTCCCGGTGACAGGTTCGGTCAACCCGGTACCATTCGTGTCTGCAAACCTTGTGAGGCTATGATCAATGGTCATGACGATGATTCCTCCGAATTTTCCGATAGTGAACAAAGCCCTATTGTGATAAACCCTCGGGTTTCTGAGCTTGGAGCAAGTATATACTCACGCATGCCGCCGGATGACGACGACACGTCCTCAATCGTCTCTCAGTCCATCGAACATGTCATGAAGACCCCCACTATGGCCATTCCAGCAACGAGACGTGCAGGTGAAGGGCACAACCGTCGCTCTGCCGTTCTCGAGATTAGTCCTGACAGGCCATTGACTAGGCCTACCTCCTCGAGATCGTTAAAGTCTACATTAAGCGGAAGACCTCATTCTATGGGCCACAAACGCCATCACTCGCGTCAGCAATATATTCGCAACTTTAAGCCATTTCATGATGATAGAGCTCCATTCCAACGGCGCCATGCAGATGACTCTACCCGCGAACAGCGCCTTCCCGCGTTCCACAAAGATAATATTATTGATCCTGACTTGGCACAGTATCTTTCTGATGACGCTTCCAGCGGCGATGAACAGCCCAACTTGTTGTCTGCAGTTTCCGAGGGATCATTGTCCAAAAGCGGCGGTGAAAGTGAGAGAACCACCTTTGGCGGGCTACTCGCGGCGATGAAGAAGGGACGGTCTGCTTTCGGAGACCGAAGCACTACCAATTTCAATTTCTCTTACCGTGACGGTGATGAAGGAAGTCTTAGTAGCTCGAGAGCTGTAAACTTGCCCCGGGCTTCTCGGCGTCGCAACCTGAGCGTTGCGAGTAGTGTTCATCAGCGTCACTCTCCAAGAGCATCCAAAGATAGTGTCTTCAACCCACATGAACCGACAAACGTCGCTCATGTATTTTCCATAGGGATTGCTCCAAGTGGGTTCAAAATGACGAGAAGCTCCTCCATGAGGGGAGCAGGCGCGCCGCCGGTTGAATTGAACAAGGCTAGTCTACATCACGTCCGAAGACTTCTACAACAACTCCTGAAAGATGCTTCGGTGCCGACTGCGTCAAAGTGGGAAACGGCACTCCTCCCGATCCTCTTGAAGGCAGCTGACGAGGTTGTCCCCGATGTGCAGGGTGGTGATGACATGGACATTCGTCACTACATCAAACTCAAGAAGATCTCAGGCGGTAGGCCTGGGGATACCTCATACGTTTCGGGTCTCGTCTTTACCAAGAATCTCGCACTCAAGAGTATGCCTCGAAGCATCCCGCAACCTAAAATCTTGATCATCGCGTTTCCACTTGAGTACGCACGACATCAACAGCACTTTATGAGCTTGGAACCCGTGATTCGTCAAGAACGGGAGTTCCTCGAGAATCTTGTTAGTCGCATTGCTGCTCTCCGACCAAACTTGCTCCTTGTTGAGAAGAACGTGTCTGGCCTGGCTCTCGAACTTCTGGACAAAGCTAATATCGCAACCGCGTACAATGTGAAATCGTCGGTCCTCGAAGCTGTTTCTCGCTGTACTCAAACACGAATTATAACTTCAATGGATAAGCTTGTGACCACGCCTGTGACGAGTGACTGTGGCAGCTTCGACGTCAAGACTTATGTGTACAATGGTCGGAAGAAGACATACATGTACCTGTCGGGCTGCCGCAAAGAACTCGGCTGTACGATTGTCCTGCGGGGAGGAGACGGAAATGTCCTTTCCAAGGTCAAACGGATCACTGAATTCATGGCATATGTTGTTTACAACCTCAAGCTCGAAACATGTCTGATGCGAGACGAATTCGCGCAGATGCCGTCGTTGCCAAATATCGAGCCCGACAAGAAAATTGAACTCGACCGAGACTCTGGCGAGAAGAAATCCAGCAATTCGTCGCAAGAAGCATTGGTGGCTCCCAGCGAAGTCGTTGAGGTACCAGATGATGTTCCCATGCCGACGTACTACGAAGAAATCATCCACGACCATGAAACAAAGATTTTGTCTGCCTCGCCGTTTGTCAAATTTGAGCCTCCCTATTTGCTCGCCAGGGCTCGGGAGATGGAGCGCAGACTGGCCTACTTAAAGCGTCTCCGTGACCAAGATCCCGACTCTGGATTGTCCTCAGATGAAAAGGCGAAAGCGCAAAAGTTTATCCTCATTACTCCCGAAATGGTTCATGAGGCACCGCAAGGAGCTCCACCCAAGGTCAAGGAAGTTCTGCGTGCAGCCCATGATGCTGAATATGACCGAGCGCTTCACCATTATCAAACACAGAAACGACAGTGGGAGGCTTATGTTGCTGGGAGCGTCGGTCTTTTTGATCCTTATGCGCACCAGAACATTGTCGTTCTGTTTAGCCTTGTCTGCACTACGACATCGATTCCGTGTTCTGGTCCAGATCTTCTCGCCTTGGAATACTACAATGAACATGGCGGTGACGCGATTTTCGAACCGGATTGTACGCTTGGGCAGTATGTAGAGGATATCTGTCTACATGCCAACG